CCCCAAAACCCCAAAACCCCAAAACCCCAAAACCCCTAAAATTTTCCAAAAATTGAATAATCTCTTTTCTGTTAAAGCAGCTAAGATTAGGATAAATTATCTAAAATATGGGGTGATATCTGCATAAATGTAGAAATCTCTGGTGTACATAGAAACTTGGCTGAGATCAATGCTATCTCCTACTGGAAGTCTTACTTCGAAGTTTTTGACAAATTGGTTCACGTAATTCCTGAAAAATCCTGAAAACAGACCAAAGAATGCTGCTATATCCCTATTATCAAGATTTGGGTCGATATTGTTCTGAGTGATTTCTCTGACTCTGAGTCTGAACTGTCTCAAATCCAAGGTGAGAAGGAAGCCTTTTACAATGTAAGCATCAAGCTCAAGATAAGAGTCAACCTGCAATGTTAGAAGAGATTCTCTCTTAGTGTACATCTCAATCTCTCAGTCAAGGTAGGCATGGAGATACCCATCAACAATCTCTACATATGGGGGATTCACTGTTTCTTGTACTGTGATTCTGAAGAAGACATCATCTTCTGCTCCATACTTTTCAGCAAGAGTTGGGAAAATTATAAAGAAGTTTGAAGCTGGTACTGGGAAACTTGTTCCATTAAAGTTCTGTGTGTCTAGTTTCAAAAATCCTGTCTTAAAGAGAGAATAGAGTGTTGAATTGAAGATAAAGTCAGAAATTCCAATTTGGAGTTGTCTTCCTGATGTGTCAACTTCTGAAGGAACTCTTAGGTTTTCTCTAAACGGAGGGCTATCCTGGCTGATTTGTCTAGCTGCAGCTTTGAAGAATAATGACATATGCTCATCTGTGAATATTGGATCAACGCTGCTTGAGAGATCAATTACAACATCATCAGTAATCTTATATTCAAGATTATATTTACTAGTGATAGCCCCGTTAATAAGAGGAGTAATCGTTGCATCTACCACACCAAGAATATAATCATTAATATTTGTTTTAACAAGTTGCTCAAGAGCTGCAGACATCTGAGTGATAACTCTAGAAAAATCAGCAGATCCATCTAATACTAGTGAAAAGTCTTCACTGTTCACCGTTGCAGATTTTGTAACAAATGTTGGTCTTCCATTAATTCTTTCAATTGCATATCCAAGTCTTATGGAAGTCTTTCCTAAGTAGAAATGACCATCACCGTGATCATCTAGGAAATATGGCTCTGTTCCGAAATGGAAATCAAGTGTTGCTTTCATGTTTAAATCTGAAATGAACAGTTCCAAGTTCGGTTCTGCCTCGTGGAGCTCGAGATAACTAGCACTGGTATCAAGTCCAAATTCATGCAGCTCCATATTGGTCAGATTTAGGAACACTTTGAAAAAGGTAGAGTCCCCCATGCCAAAGTCATGGGAGAACAAGATGTCTTCAATCTTTCCTGTCTCTATAGTCCTGATGTATTCGTCCAACAAGGATGTCTTCAGGTTAGTAAAGAAGCTCTGCTGGACATGGAAGGCAATCCCTGCGCCTTCTGTAACATTAACAGCTAATGCCGATGTTCACGCCAGAGCTATTAGTAGGAAATAAATTGTAGCTTTCATTATGATAAAAGTGATAAAAATCTATTAATTATCTCCAAGGGGTTTTGGGGTTTTGGGGTTTTGGGGTTTTGGGG